CCAATTGCGTGCTGCTGCCGTTCGTCTCGCCCCAGCGCGGGCGGGCCACTTTTCTGAATCCCAGTCTTTCTTCGTCGTCGTCGCCCCCCTCGTTTCCCCGCCTCCGCGTCCTGCCGATACTCCTTTTTTCCTATCCTGCCGCTTTAGATCCTGCTGCTGTTCGTCCTCATCCTGTCCTCCCGCTCATCCTCGTGCTCGACCGCCGCCTCCTCTTCCTCCTCCTCCTCCTCCTCCTCCTCCTCCTCCTCCTCCTCCTCCTCCTGTGCACGCAGCTCCCATTCTTCCGATTGCGCATACCACGCAATGCTGTTTGCCGCAAGGCGGCTATGACACGCGTCCGAGACCAATGAAAAATCAGCGCCGTAGGAAGGGATGGGAGGGAGGGACAGGTTCAGATGAAGCACGAGCTCACCTAGCTTGCCCTTCTCCCCCTCCCCTCCTCTTCCTCCTCTCCCCTTGCCCCTCCCTCCTCCTCCCTCTCTATCAACCCCTCCTCATCCCCTTCTCCCTCCTCCTCCATCCATCCATGCCGCCCCGCTCCCTCCTCCTCCCTCCCTCCTCTTCCGTGGCCATTCTGGCTCTCAAGGCCCGAGCCGTAGCCGCAGCCATCTTGCCCCGCTCCTGGCAGGCTGTGCCGGCTCAGGCCCACGTGCGCGCCGGCCGCCACGACTCGCCCCCGGCGCGGCTGCCAGGCGAGCCGCGAGCCGGCCGCGCGCCAACGAGGTGCCCTGGGCGGCGCCGCCGCCATGCTGCCGTCCGAGGCCAGGGCTCTGCGCCGCGGCGCGGAGGCTCGGCGACTGCTGCTCGCGTGCACCGTCCGCCCCGCGTGGCCGGCGCTTCGGCTCTGGCGGATGCCGCTGCCGCTCAGCGGCTTGCCGGTCGGCAAGATGATCGTCGGGATGCCGAGCCAGTGCCGGTGCAGGAGCGGGCCGCTGCCGCCGTCGACGCTCCTGCGCACGGCGATGCTGCTGGGGCTGCTGGCGCCGCTCCGAGATGGTGTCCCATGGTCTCGTTCTCACCGCCTTCGTCGTGGCCGCCGTCGGCGCCTTCTTGGACTGCGCCGACGAGCGCGGACGTCCTGCTCAAGGAGCTCGGCGTCGGGATGCCGTACGTAGAGGTGCTGGGCGCCAGGGATCCCGACCGCCCCGCTTGTGCCTCAGCGTGGGCCGACGTCGACAGCGAGCGTGGAGTCCTGGAGGCCAGCGCGCAGTCGTCGAGCTTCGCACCCCGCGCCCGCCTCAAGAGTGCGGCTGCGGCCGCGGCCCGTGCTGCAATGCTGCGGCGCGCCGAGGGCGACGGTGTCAAGGCCGACCGCCTCTGTTACGGTCCCGGGTGCGGCGGCGCTGGCACCCGGACGGCTGGCAGCCACGCCGCGCTGGCCGCCGCGCCTCCGGCAGAGCCTCTAGCACGGGCCCCCGCTGCTGATGCCGCACCGCAGCCCGAGGGTGAGCCTGTGAGAGGGCAGGGGTACAGGGGGAGGCGGAGGGGGAGGAGGAGGAGGAGGAGGAGGAGGAGGAGGAGGAGGAGGAGGGAGAGGAGGAGGAGGGAGAGGAGGGTGCCAGAGGCCGCGGAGGCCGAGCGCCAGGTGGCGGCTGAGGCACAGGCCGCCGCCGTTGCCGTGCCCTTGGGTGCCACTTGCCAGGCGGCGGCCTGCCGGACGGCGTGGTCCTTGGACGCCGCGCCGCAGGCAGCAGCCGAGCTCCAGGCCGCCGAGCGCCAGGCCGCCGAGCGCCAGGCGGAGCCCGAGCGCCTCGCGGAGGCTGCGCCGCACGTGCAGGCTCAGGTTCTCTCCCCTGCTGCCGAGACGGCCGCGGTGCTGCCGCCAGCCGTGCTTCGACCAGAAGCTCCTGCACCGCCGACGGCTCCTCCGCAGCTGCCGCGTGAGCAGCCCGGGCCGTCGGCGATGAAGGGGGTGCAGCGATCGGCGCCTGTCGGCATGGACCCTCGGGCTGCCCGAGGTCCACTTGTGATAGCGGGCAGGCTGACGGCAGCAGGGATGCGTCTCCCCATCTCGGAGCGGGGCCCCGCCCTTCGCAGCTTCTGGCCGCGCGTGGCACGGGAGCGCGCTGTCGCCGCTGGGGCCGCGTCGGTGCCAAGCGAGACCCAGGAAATGCCTGCCGAGCTGCTCCAGCGCGTGGCCATCGCGACGCCCGCCGAGCTGCTCCAAGGCGATACCGCCGAGGCGCACTCCGAGCTGCTTCAGAGCGAGGCGATTGAATCGCAGCCGCCACCGGAGTGCAGTGGTAGAAGGTTCGCACATGGATGGCGGTGGGAGGAGAGGAGGAAGGAGACCACATCACAATAGAACAAGCCAGCATCTCCCTTCCTCGTCTAGCTTGAAATTAATCGCCTGTTTTGCCTCCGCCGCCATCGGTCGTTCGCGTCGCGAATGTGCGAAGATTTCTCCTCCTCTCGATCAGGTACGACTCTTGGCTGTTGTGTAACTTGCAATTCTCCGCTCGTGCTCATACGAGTCTTGGAGCTCGCAGTCATCATTCGATCACGCTCTGCAGTCACGAGCCTGCTTGCGGTACGAACGCGTGAGATGCCAGCCCGACGAGTTGTTCGGCTTTGTAGTTCAGCGACGCCGACCCAGGAGGAGCGCTCTGGAGGCGGTTGATCGGGTGTGGGGGGAGTATCATTCTTCATGCCTAGCCCTCCTCCCTCCACGAGCGACATGCCTGCACAGTATTAACATTTTGTGAGTTGCTTCTCTTTGGCGCCCGTCAAGTTTGGCAGCAACGATCCTCCCCAGTTCCTGCCGGGGCGCTCTGATAACTGCGCGTTGTGTTGCCCTCGTCGGTCGTGGCTCGACATGGGCGAGGGTGCGAAAAAAGATCTTCTTTCTCCACCGCTGCCCGACCCGGCTGCACATCTCCTGGCAACGACTTCCGTGTGGTGATTCCCGTTGTTGAAGGGAAACTGGGACACACAAATAAATACACACAAATCAAAGTATCCCCCTATATTTTCCCACATGTTCTAGGTTTTTGTCTTCCCCCCCACTCACTTCCCATATTTTCCCATATTTTCTGGGAATCGCCGATTAATTGTGTCTGTGTGTTTTTTCCCCTCCTGAGTTGTGGTGCCTCCACGCGGCCTCATTGTACTGCTGAGCTGCGCAGGAATGCTGCCTGTGTCCCAGCACTGCTCCTTTCGCCTCGGCTGTATCCCATCCCCCTCTCTACAGTCGGGGCGTTGACCTAAGGAACGATACATAAGGAACGGGGCCCCTTTCTCCCATCAGTTAAAGTTCGATTTCCTGTCGAAAAACATAAGGAAAGCCTGAGGCAAGCTGTGAAACACTTAAGGAACACGGAGCCCCTCCCCAACGAAAAGGGTTCCTTCTTCAAAATCCCTCTCTCTGCAGCAGTTTTCCTTCCCCCTCTCCAGCGGCCGAGTGCACACGGTACGGTGGTCGGTGCTGCGCCGACGCGGTGCCGGCCCGGCCGCTTGATGTGACGGGGGGTTGCGGTGGGATGGCTGGACGGATGGGCTGAGGAGGGGGTTGTGGACTTGGCCGGTGCCACGAGAACAGGAGGTGGTCGGTCTGCGTTCCAGCCTCCTCCCTCCCTCTCGTAATCCTATGCTACTGCCCTCCCTCAACCTCCCCCTGCTCCTGAGTGCCGTGGACGGGCACACCAAGCGATCTGTTGCCGCCTTCAGCGTTTGCCGTCCAGTTGCCCATTCTGGAGGGTGGGGTTGTACGTGAGGATTGGAAAGTCTGGACTCCTGGCTTCGGTTCGAAGCGTTCCGTCCGCTGTGTCGTGGGGGGTCCATTCCTACGGTACTGAACTTGCGTTCTTGGTGCCCGTGAAGATTTATGATTTGGAACAAGGCGTAAGCCGAACTTGCTCTATTCTAATAATTGCAGCGACTCATTTGCTGACAGGCACTGGCTTCATCAGCGTCGCAGTCCAAAACTCCTCCCTCCTCCCGGGTGTCCAAGAGGGGGGGGGCAAATCATGACCGGCGGCATGTGCGCGGCCCAGCGGGGGGGCCAGGGACGTAATGAAATAAGAAGGGGCGCCATGAAATCCGGGGAAATATCATGGCCCACGCCATGAAATCCACACACCCCTAGTCATCACCCCCCTCTTTGCCGCCCCCGACTCCTGCCTCCTCCCCCGGGGATGCCGGTCTGCCGAGGGCACTCCCCGCCACGCGTCCGAGGGTCGACCCCTTCCGGGGAGGAGGGCCCACGACCTCGGGCGGCTCGAAGAGATCATTCTGCTCGCGCCCGATCTCGAGTGCGAGCGACAATCTCATGCTCGCCATCGCTCGGACGTCCATTCCCTGTGTTTTTTTCGGTTTCGTGCGTGTTTTTTCGCCAAATGATCAAGGATGCTCCTCGATGGTCCTCGCCGAAGGAAAAATGCACACGTCCGAGCGATGCCAAGCATGCGGAGCGACTCGATCGGCAACAAGAGTGGTGCCGTTCGGGTGTCGCCAGCCCAGCTCCTCAATCACGTGGGGGGGTCAACACCACAGGGGCACCTGACGACTCTGGCTCGGGCAATTCTGTCCCGCACGGGGAATTCTCTCCTGCACGAGTCAGGGGCGGAAACGCGTGCCCAACGATCCACTTCGCACTTCGCACTGCAACATCAGTTTGTGGTCTCAATTTAGTGAGCGTTACTTCTCATGCGGCGTTTCTCATCCGACTCTGTACCTCTGCTTGTATCGACTGTTTGCAACAATGCGACCTGGGGGGAGACTCCATCTTCTTGAACCAGGCGCCCAAACAAAAACATGATCTACTCTCCATGGAGGGGGGACGGAGGGCGCGAGGACCCGCGCCGATCGGCAAAGCAATGAACAAGAAACCGATCACTTCAAAGGGGCCCGGGGACACACAAATAAATACACACAAATAACCAGATTCCCTATATTTTCCCATATTTTCTTTGGTTTTGTCTTCCCCCCCACTTCCCATATTTTCCCATATCTTCCTGGGAGGGGACGATTCATTGTCTGCGTGTGTTTTTCCCCTCCTGATTGTGGGCCGCTTGGTTCCTCCAGGGAACGCGGAGCGCACGGAGACCTCGGCGAGTGCGCCCGCATCGCACGGGAGGGGCCGCCGTGCCAGGTCTCCGCGCACGAGGCCAAGGGGGTTCCTCCAATTGAAAGCAGATACAACACGAGCAAGCGGGTCTCGAACAGAAATAATCCACGTGCGTTGCTTGTCTGCGCGGCAATTGTCGACCTGCCGAATGTGAATCTCATGGTAAGGGGTTTGCTTGTAGATGGCCATACCAATTGTGTGAGGGGGAGGGGGACCGAAGGACCGAACCCACCCCCAAAGTGTCCGTAGGTAGACGTGATGAGGATGATGGAAGTTGTCCTCTTCACCCTCTGAGTACGAGTACCTGCATCCGAGCCGAAAGGGGCGATGGATGAGCAAGATAGGAGGAAAGTAGGGGGATTCACACACACACCCCCCGTCCCGATCCCGCCCGATGCCCACGCACAAAGGCGAAAGGCACCGAAGCGGGGATCGGGATAGGAGAGTGAATCTCTACTGAACTCCTGTCTGCAATCCACTGCTTCAGCCCAGGAAGGAAAGAAGGGACAGCCAAAACTCTGTCGTAAGGTTCGCACCCAACGGCGGCGCTAACCCGCAAACAAAGTTTTACAGCGCCTGCCGCCGAGATAGAACCCAGGACAGTGCTGTGGGCTGGAGAGAAGTGGAATGGAGAGACTGAGCTCTTATGACACCGACCCAAACGGTCGGTGCCCGAAGCAACACATGATATGAATGCAACGATGTGTGCAATGAGCCAGATCCAATCCAAAGTAAAACGCAAAACATTGAGATATGAGGAGTAGAGTGCATGCGCAAGTTCCAAGAAAATCTTGTACGTCTTGCACCAGTAATGAAGAATCAAGTGTATTTATGCAATTATGTTTTTTCACATGTTTTTGCAATTGTGCATTTTCAACAGTACATGCTAGACAATCATCTTTGTGGCTCTTTAGGCCGTTTTGTCAAGACTGCAATCGATAATAAGGTTGTCACCTGCTCTACTATCGCGAAGCTAACGTCCCAGAGATAACGCACAAAACTTATGCCATCGCTCCAACCAAATTCTCGGCGTCTGCTGCAAGAAATGGTGAGTAGGCTGGTTGCGGTACCTTTTCATATACAGCTGGGCCTGTCCATGGTGACAAGTATGGTTTTGAAATCGACCAAGATGTGAGAGGCATGTCAAAAGTCAGAAGAAATTCGGAAGCCATCAAAATTGTATGCAAATGTCATCGTCCATCATGATGTGGTGCTGGTATGCTCTGATGTCCATGAGGTACAACTGCCGAGCCTGCGTAATCAGCGGCGGCAGAACCAGCGGCACGCCATGGGGGCGCCAGAGGAGGCGGAACCATGGCTCGAGGACGCGCCAGATGATGTACCGTAAGGGGAGTTGTGGTGTGTAGGGGGGGCAGGGTCGGCCTCCGTTCCCCCTTTCGACGTGCCCTTCGTTGCGCCGTACTCGCTGCGGTTGCCCGCTGCAATTTCGGCGTCCAGATGGGCAGCACCCCGTATGACATCTGTTATGTAGTCAGACCACGCGCGATCGGCGCTCGGGAGAGCGACGGCGTCTCTGGTCCCCGGACCGAGAGTGGGCGAATGGAAGCCGAGGCCGGGATCCAGCGATCGATCCGCGTCCGATCGGCGATCGGGGTCCCAATCGACCGGCTGATCGGGCTGGTCGGCGGTGGCTGAGCTCGCGGCTACCTGCTGTCGAGGGAGGACACAAAAACAACCTGAACGCGAGGGAGGCGTCTGCCTCTTCAGCACAGGGGGGTCCGAACTAAGAGCCGGGGTCTTGATTTTGACCGTCTGTCGAAAGAACAACTGCTTAGCCAGAGCCAGCGGGCTCCTGCTTCGGGATTTCTTCAGCCGAATCGGATCCGGAGAGTCCTGGGAGCGGGGAGATTTTCCGTGCCGGGTCGTTCCTGGAGAGTCCCGTGTTCCGCGCCGCGGGGGCAGGGGAGGTGGGTTTCTCTTCCTGTGTCCAGATCCTCTGGGCGCTCTGGTGTCCAGATGCTCTGATGGAGCAGCAGCCGGGCGTGTCCTTGAAGACGTAACAGAAGCATGCGGCTTTTGAGCCGGAGCTGAGTCATCCCTTTGCCGTGGCTGGTCCTTCGTGGCGCCGCAGCACGGACAGTGCCCCCCCGGATTCGGTGGAGGCGGAAACACTAACACCATGTTATCGGCGTCAACGTGTGGTATGTAGTCGCGAACAGGGGCCTTCCGTGATGGTCCACCATCAGGTGGTGAGAGAACACACCCATCTTTTCTGCTCCAATGGATGGTCCAATCCTCATCCTCGACGAGACGACCCATGGAAATAACAGACGGACAACCTTTGAGAGCCAAAGAACCTGTGTGCAAGTTAATGGAAGGCACAGAAACATTGATGTGCTCATTAACAACTCGATCGCCGTTTGCTGTTTCCAATACGTATTCATGTCCACGACGAATACCACATGTTTCAGCTTGAGTCAAATCGTCCTTGTCCGTGATGTGGTGCGCAGAACCACTATCCAAGACCCAAGACCGTGCGAGAACCGCGGGGGACTTTGCTGCAGTTTCCTGCTGCATGGTCCCTGCTGCAGTTCCCTGCTGCACTAGCCCTGCTGCAGTTCCCTGCTGCACTAGCCCTGCTGCAATTCCCTGCTGCACTGCCCCGGCTGGGACAAGCGGCATGCAGGTGTCGAGGTCGTCGTCCAGGCGCTCGGTCAAACGGATGGCGTTCTCGATTGCCTCCTGGAGCGCATCCGCGGAGGTCTGCAGCCAGTGGTCCGGAAGAACATCAGGAACGTGGACCACATATCCCTGGTTAGGGGAAGTACGGTGTCGACGCATTTTGGTCTGAACAGGGAAGTAGTGAATCTCTGTGGCTGCAAAGTTCCATTGCAAGCCTTTCGGCGTCTGAGTCTTCCTGCCAGGGACTGCAGCGAGAGCGAAGGATCGTGGACGACAGACGTCAACTTGAGGTCGAAGACAGCCGGGAGGCCGATCACAAGGGCTCGGGTCGTGATCATTGCTTTGGCTGCTGCGGCGTCGGTCGCGGGAGGGGGAGCGCCGTAGTCGACAGGAGTCGTAACAGCGCGTGCCCCCCGGACTGTTGGACACTCGCGTGCTGTGTCCAAACTGGGGGCCTGGCGAGGCACCAGGCAGGGCGCCAGGCGCGGCGCCGTATTGGGAGCCGGGCTCGGAGCCGAGAAAGGTGCTGCGCTCAGAACAGCCGGGTTGGGGACCGGACTCGGAGCGGGACTGGGAGCCGGCAAAGGCGCCGGTCAGGGCGCCGGGCTCGGAGCTGGTCTGGGGGCCGTGCACGGAGCCGGCCTGGCAGCCGGCGCGGGTGCCGGTCAGGGCGCCGGGCTCGGAGCTGGTCTGGGGGCCGTGCACGGAGCCGGCCTGGCAGCCGGCGCGGGTGCCGGTCAGGGCGCCGGGCTCGGAGCTGGTCTGGGGGCCGTGCACGGAGCCGGCCTGGCAGCCGGCGCGGGTGCCGGTCAGGGCGCCGGGCTCGGAGCTGGTCTGGGAGCCGTGCTCGGAGCCGGGGGGGGCGCCGCCAGGCAGCAGTGCGCCAGGTGGGGAACCGGACTGGGAGCCGGCCTGGGAGCCGGCAAAGGCGCCGGTCAGGGCGCCGGGCGGCGAGCCGGGCTGGGGGTTACGCTCGGGGCCGGCCTGGGAGCCGGCGCGGGTGCCGGTCAGGGCGCCGTGCTTGGAGCGTATGACGTACACTCGGTTCCAGGGAGCGGCAGGTGACCGGGCCCTCGAGCTCGTGCTGCTCCGCTGGCTGGTACGGTCTGAGTCGCGAGAAGGTCGACGTCCGCGCTGGGAGTCGTCGTGGAGCGTGCCTTCCTGACTCTCATACCCGTCTTGGTTGGGAGCGGGCCGAGATCGCCAGTTATCCCAGGTCTGAGATTGGGAGGCGTCACGAGGAGGCTGCTGAGATCCCCCCGGACTCCTGGACGAACGGTGGTTTCGACCAGATTTCGGTCCACGCGAGGGGGGGCGGCCACGGCTGTCCTGACTCCGCGGGCGGCTGGTGCTCTGTGGCGGAGTCGCAGCGTTGGCTGCCAGGTGTGCGTAGGTGCACGCGTCGCCCTTGGCGCAGTGGCCTGCCTGGAAGTAGCTGCAGGCGGGCACGTGGGGGTAGCGGCAGCGGTCGCCGTACGAACAGGCACCAGTTTTGGCGAATCTGCGGCAGAAACGCGCGGCGCCGCCGTGAGGCTGCTGCGAGCCGGGTGGCTGGGCAGAACGCTGGGGCTGGCGAGAGTTCTCGCTGTGAGGGGCGCCAGTGTCAGGGCGGCTGCGGGAGTCCACCATGTGCAGGAGCTTGCACGCGTTTCCCTTGGGGCATTTGCCCTTGCTGAAGGGCACGCAGAAGCCAGTCTTCGGAGAGATGATGGCTGCGGTGTCCCTGTTGCCTGTCCTCAGGTGGTACTGGTTGCGCCGCGTTCGGTGTAGCTCAAGAACAGCTGTGACTCGGTGGTGGAGCCAAGTGTAACAGCGTTCTGGTGCCCCTTTAGGAGCTTTGTTGTACGTGTTCATGTCGTCCTTCATCCAAGGATGCAACTCAATCTGTGTACGAAACAATGACTCCATAATGTTCGGCGGAGGAAGCTCCCGGAGCTCCAGGAGCAGTTGGTCCCACTCCGTCACGAACCTTTTGAGGTCATCTCCATGCATACGTAGAGTGTTGATCCTTTCGAAATCATGAATCGTATCGTCGGCGTCGGTCACATCGTAATAACGCAAAATCTTCCAGTAGATCTGACGTCCCTTTATCATGCGACCGTGCTTGTGCTCTGTGTTCTCCAGCAATTTGATATCCAGTTTCAATTCGCTGCTGAGAATCGCTTGTAAAGCTTCCGCGAACTTCAGATCCAAACTTGCGAAATCACCGCTGTCCTGTAGATCATCCAGTGTCACACCGGGCTGTTCTGCAACACAGAAGAACTTGTATGCAGCATCTGGACGCCCAGAGGCACTGCAGAAGGCCTTGCGGACTGCGTGCTGCCACTCAAGAACATGTCCGATTCTGGGAAGACCTGGAACACGCACACGCTCGCTCTCCTTCACCGGTGCGATGGTAGCAATAGGGCTCCCTCCGATGGTGTATTGAGACTGCATGACAGTAGCACCAAGGACGTTGGGCACTGGTGAGTGCGTGCGAAAGCTTGCAGCGTCGAAGTTTGCCTCCTGCGCAGGTGCTGCGGAAGCGGCCGGGGCCGCGGTCCTGCTGGCAGCTGACGGTGACACACGTCGGGCCTGTGGCTGGTAGCCAGCGGCTGGGGTTTCCCCCTGCACACCCCCCGCGTTCGAGGCAGGGGCGCCGGGAGAAGTGCGTCTGGAGGTCGGGGCTTGTGGTGGTACAGGTGTGTGCTGTGTAGCGTCAGCTACGTGGGCCTTGTTGGTCTTGAGAATGATGTTGTCACGTTGCAACTGTTCGATGCACGTTGCAACTGTTCGATGCAGCCTGAGAAACCATCAACATTCCTCTGGACCTCGCGGGTCCTGTCTGTAAGCACGGAATACTGTCGTTGAGTAGACTGGGAAAGGTCTGTAAGAAGAGAACGTAGCTGATCCATGTCGGCCTTTACGCGCGACAGCTCCTGCTGCGTATCCGCCAGGCGGGTCTGCACCTCAGATACCCGTGCCTTTCCAGCATCCCTCTCAGAGCGAAGCTCGTGTAACTGCCTTTGCACGTGGTCCGCCTCCGCACGCACGGTCCGTTGTACGGCTGCCAGTACGGCGGGGTCGTCAACCGAAGAAGGGGGCACCAGCTGGCCAGTCTGGGCCCTTACAACGCGCAGCTCAGTCACGGCCTCTTCGAGAGTCAGGACTCTGGCGGTGAGCTTTGGGATCGAATCAACTTGGGAATCAGAGAAACGCTGGTTGACAGCATTTTCGGCTTGACAGAGTTTGCCGTAGAGATCTTGTTGGACTTGTTGGGTCTCAGCACGAAGATCAGATGTAGCAGACATCGTGGCGTCACGAAGCTCAATAATCTGGCCCTGGAGAGCTGAGGGAGCCGCGCCGGCGCTGGCGGCAGCAACTGCTTGGAGTTCATCGTGGAGAAACTTGGCGCGAGTATCATTGTGGTCACGCATATGGATAAAACGTGCTTCCAAATGAGAGAACTCGGAGTGCACAGCGGCAAGCTCGGAGCGGTCTTGGCCACGCTGAGCGGCAACAGCATCGACCTTCGAAACGAGTTGACACATGACGTGACGATCCTCGTACAACCTAGCGTCGACTTCCTGCAAACCTTTAGCGAGATCCGATCGCAAGATCGCAGTCTCAGTGGCGGTTGCCTGGTGCACGAGAGCAGTCTGATGCTCCACATACGTCTGTACCTGGTCTCTTAGCTCAGCCATATCTGTTAGGGGGACGGCGGCAGGCGCAGCCACAGGTGAGCTGACAGCGCGTCTTCGTGCCCTCTGGGAGGGACTGCGGCTGTGCAAATCCTGGGCTGCAATCTGGAACTGTTCGGGGCCACGTCTGTCACGAGGCGAAGCTGCGCGAGAACGAGAAACAGTGACTTGACGACCGGCGAAGGCTGCGCCGTCGCGGGTCTGAGCACGAAACTCGAGGGCGCGGACGTGCTCTCGGACTGGCGTCACGGCACGGGTGACTGGGTTCCGTCCTGGCGCGCCGGCGTTCGCGTGACTCCCGCCCCAGCGGCGAGATCCTCCAGAGCCTCTCTGCACGGGACTTCCCTGTGGAGGCGAAAGAGCCTCCGAGGCGAAAGAGCCTCCGAGATTTTGAGGAGGTTGAGGAGTCTGGAGCTGAGGAACTCCAGGAGCCACAGGGTGTCTCGCTCTGACAGCATTTCTGGGCGGATCATTCCGTGGCACGAGGACCTCAGCGCTCTGAAAGAGATGCGGCCTCCCGCTGCGGTCTCCCGCTGCATCCGAGCTGCGGTCTCCCGCTGCATCCGACACGACGGGCGACGCGACGGGAGGAACGACTGACGACGAGGAAGGGGCCTGGAACTGAGGAGTACCAGGAGCGTGTCCTTGTCCAGCGTCAAGACCCTCAGTACCTGGAGAAATGGCCACACGATCAGCTCGCGGGATGCCATGCACGTCCATCAAAACTTCAATCTCCTGCTCCAAGTTGCGCGCCACGGGGTCCGCCACGCCGTCGCGAAGAGGCGCGGGGCCGAGAGGCGCACCGCCCTCCATCGCGACTGAGTGGGGGGCTCAGGAAGCGCGGAAGTTGGAGCGATTGCGTTTTGAACAGAGAAGGCTGATAACCTGTGTGAGGGGGAGGGGGACCGAAGGACCGAACCCACCCCCAAAGTGTCCGTAGGTAGACGTGATGAGGATGATGGAAGTTGTCCTCTTCACCCTCTGAGTACGAGTACCTGCATCCGAGCCGAAAGGGGCGATGGATGAGCAAGATAGGAGGAAAGTAGGGGGATTCACACACACCAATTGAACTGCCTGCGCACTTGCCAACATGCACAAACTGCACAAGCTCCTTATAGTGTCGCAATGACTCGTTATGTTGCCTTTGACGGCACTCAGAAACAATACGTCTCCAGTCTTCAACATTCAAGCTTTCATCGTCCCAATCGGGCCCCCCACTTTCGATATCATCACACTCGGAATATGGTTCCAATTTATCTTGCGGGTCAGAAAATTCATAGATGCCCATGCCGTCCTCTGCGTTCGAAACAACGTGCAAGGCGGAGACCACACTACTGCCGCTCAATGCGCATATTAAGCATGCGATCGCCCTCGCGAACACCATCGTGAGTGCTGAAGTACGAGGCCAAGGGCGGCGGCGGCAGAACCAGGATCGGCGGCAGCGGCTCCAGAGCAAGTCTCGCCATCTCTCGGACGTCCATTCCCTGTGCTATTTCCGGTTTCGTGCGTGTTTTTTTCGCCAAATGATCAAGGATGCTCCTCGATTGTCCTCGCCGAAGAAAAAATGCACACGTCCGAGCGATGCTAAGCAAGTGTGTTTCATCTGGCAGTGCTCTGAGACGAAACCGTGCTCCAGCGGGCCAAGACTTGCCAGCTCAGCAACGCTCTGGTCGACCCAAACGGGGGTCCAGCTGACAGGGGGTGGTGCAACACAGTTTGGGCAGTTGTGCTGCAAAGAAACTGCGCCGGATAATTCTATTGCACTGCTGCATCGTGTCGCGACGAATGTCTTGCGCGCGAAAATCCAGTAACACATTTGCGCCCCAGAATATATTGCACAGCCCGAATCTACTGCAACCCCACAAACCTGATGCACCAAATCTACTGCCCCCCCCCCTTTTCGCTGGACGCCCTTTTGGCCCAACCAGAAACGCGCTGCTCCGCAGACAGCCTCCTCTTCTATTTTTTCTCCCCTATCGATAGACGGTCTTTTGCCCTCAGCGTATCAGTTTTGCGACTGCATCGCCAGCCGCCAGTGTAACACACCGCTGTAACCTGCGCAGTGCTCGTGCCCTGTTCCGCCCTCCCCTCCTGCCCCCTCCCACCTTATGAGGCAACTACTGGGAAGTCTCCGTCGGAAAAATTCAGGAGGATCCGGCCCGAGGGCTCTTACGCCGGAGTGGGCCGCGGGATTGAGCCGGATTAGGCGGGATGAGGCCGGGCTTAACGAGATGAAGACAGATTAAGCCGGACTTCGGACCAAGGCAAAATCAGAAGTTGACCTCCCAGGGGTTACATCCGAACCCACCTGGAGAAAGAGAGGGCGCCCACGGGCAACGGGGCCCCAGGAAGGTTCACGGGCACGCCTGCGAAGCAGCTGGGGATGCGGAGAGGCCCCTCCGACGCCGAAGTAGGACAACCATTCTTTTGGCCACGGCGTGGCGGCCGGCGGGGGCGGGTCGCAGTCAGCAAGCAGTGCGACTCCCCGAGATGGTGGCCATGTGCTCATGTGCGCTTCGTACTCAGCATGCTGCGTGCTAAAAACCACTCCAGGGCGAGGGTGCAATAGAGGCCAGTCCACAAGAAACCTTCCACAAGAAACCCACCCCTGAAACCCCAGGACGTCCATTGATTCTCAATGCGGGAACGTCACGCTTTCCATCGCAAAACCATCGAAACCAAAGAACCCGGGGCACCCTGGAGGCAAGCAAGGCGCTTTTGGCACGGGCCCCCACCCCACTGCACGACAACCGTGTCATGGACAAGCGCGGGCGTCAACTGAGAATCGGGTGCCCCTGCGAAGCCCAGGGAGGGCCCCGATGTCGGCGGTGGACAAACCTCCCTTCAGTAAACCTCCCCTCAATGAAAACGGCCTGGGACCGACACCGACGGACCGGGACCCGCAAAACTGACGGCCGCGACTCCCTCTCGCGAACCGAAGACGGCCAATCCCTTAATCGACGTGTCAGGGTGGGTCTATTCGGGTCGGGCGAAAGGGGGGGATAGCAAAGGGGGGGTTGAGAATCAGCTCACGTAGCTGATTTTCCCGCCGCCTCCTGGCGCTGGAGGCGGCTACGTATCGAGGAATGGGCCCCTCGGTGAGGCCGAAACCAGCTGCATGCAGCGAATTTCGTAACCCCTCCTTTCCCAGTCCCCCCCTTTCGTCTGGCCCGATCTGTCCGCCTCCGACGATGGCCCCCGAGTGCAGCGCAGAGCTGAAAAACACCCCTGGGCCCTGCTCCTCGCGCCTCCGGCCCTTCGCGCCCCGCCTCTCGCGCCTCCGGCGGCCTGCCTCGCGAGACGCTCCCGGCACGCCCGGCAGCGCCCTCCGCGAGGCGCCGCCGATGCATTGCGTCCCGAGGCTGGAAAGCCGCCGAGAACCGACGACGCCGCCCAGAAACCTGCCGAGAGCCACCGGCGCGACACCGCTGGAGGAGAGCCGCGCGACACCCCGGGCCAGGGGCAGCCAGGGACAGCCCCAGCAGCCCTGGAAACAGGCGGACGCCCACCCCAAGCCGGCGTCCGGATCGCCCCTCAGTGGTTCAAAGATGGGGCCCTGAAGGATGGGGTCCTAAGGACGAGGTGCCTTAGACCTTAGACAACGTAAATCCACCCTTGGATCCCTTCCTATCCTGAGGACCCCATCCCTCAGGACCCCATCTTTGATGCACCCAGCCCGCGGCGTGAGCACGTGGCGGCGCGCAGAAGCGGGCAGAGGAAGCGGGGGAGGCTGCTGAGGAGGCCGCTTCTACGAAACCTCGCCCCCTTCCCCCTATACAGTAGAGGCTCGACCACGAGAACCCTTCCGCAAGGAACCCACCCCGAGACCCCGGGGCGTCCATGGCTTCCTTTGGTGTGGGAAGGCCACGCCCTCCGCAGCAACACCACCGACACCCAAGAGATCCAGGGCACCCTGGAGGCAAGCAGGGCGCCTCTTGGCGTGGGCGTCCGCTGCACCCCCCCCCCCCCTGCGCGTGGCTCGTGCCCCGCGCGTGCAGGCCCCCGGGGCTCCGCAGCGCAGGCAGGCCCGCGCGGCCCGGTCGGGCAGGAGGGAGGGCGCTGGGGCCTCTCTGGCGGCGCCTCCGGCGCCGCCATTGGGCGCGCTCCGCGCGCCAGAGAGGGAGACCCAGCACCGATCCAAGAGATCAGCGCGGAGCTCCGAGAGTAGGGGAACAGAAAGTGACATGAACCTAAAAACACTCAGAAGTCCACGCGGATTGCTCGGATCGGCGCTGGGGCCCCCCGCGCGGCGCCTCCAGCGCCGATCCGAGAAATCCGCGCGGACCGCCGAGTTTTTATGTTTATGTCACTTTTTGTTCCCCTAGAAAGAGCATGCGTCGAATTACCTGTCTACCTTGTTGTCCTTCGGGCCAGACGAAGGGGACTGGGCGAGAATCGCTGCAGGAGCAGCCAGTACCGCATCGGGAAAAGGTCGGGTCGGGTCGGGGCGTGCGTCGGATCGGGCTGCACCGGCACGGTGTCGAGATCGAATCGGATCGCACGCGCCGAGATGCACAAAAACCCATGCAGGCGTGGACCACGCCAGGTCCCGGAGATCGAAACCGAGCTGCATCGGGCCGGCCGAGATCGACATCAAGTCGATCGGATCGAAACGGGCGCTACACTGGGAATGACTCCGTGAGAGACCATGCGTGCGGAGGATTGGGCGACAGAGCACCGGGGCAGAGCATAGAGCTCGTCAGCCAATCAATGAGAAAACTGACTCCATCGACTGCGAGGGCGTCCATCAGTTGCGACGAAGGACATGTTGCCAAGGTGCGACGGCATGCCCGGTAGTAAGATCGCCTGGACCCTGGTGCGGGAGACACTCACACCACCTGAGTCCTACAGTAGATCGTACTAGAACCACGCGCTTCGCGCGCGCTTAGGTTCCAGCGAGCTCCAGTTGTAGTCTAAAGTGTTCGGCATCGGAGGATATAGATTGTCACAAGGACCGTGCACCTCAAGGAGTTCCATCTGAGCCCTTCAGACAGGCTTGACTGAGGGTCCTCCCGCCCATGCCGGCACACCCCTCGCAGGCATCGCGTCCCACAGGAAGACCCACTTAATTACGTCACCAGAGACGAGGTTCGCATAGTGGCACACCCCTCACGCGGACCTTGCCCCGCAAGTGAATGCATTTGCGGCACCAGAGAGGAGCTTCATAACATCGCCCCGCTCACCTCGGCACACTTCGCACACGTATCGGGGCCGCAAGGACATCCACGGACGGCCCCAAAGACGAGGTTCGCATCCCGCCATCCCGCCTACCTCGGCACACCTCGCACACGGATCGTGATCATGGCCCACAAGGATTTCCACCCACGGCCCCGGAGGCAGAGTTCGCACTGCGCCCCCACCCGGCCATTGCGGCACACCCCATCACGTGGATCGTGCCCACATGGAACGCCACCTAAAGGCCCAGAAGGCTCGTACAACGCCCACGCAGTCCATGTTGGCACACATGTCACGCGAATCATGCCCCAGCATAGGCATCTTTGCGTGGCGCCCCCGCGCCCAGTTCGGAACATGCCTGGCACGGGGCGTGCCCAGAGGAGGTCCACCTGGGGCCTCAATGGGCGTGTCCGCGCGGACCTTCGCGCGGATCGTGCCCCACAAAGAGTTTCGCGCACCCGTGCACGCATGCCCTGCGGGAGCCATCTTTCCGCATTGCTCTCGCCTTCTTGGCTGTCTTGGAACGTTCTTGGCCCGTCGGACGCTACTGGAAATCTTCTTTGAGGCCTGTATTCGCCGTCCTCGAGCCCGCTTGGAGCGCTTCGGGGTTGTCTCGAAAGCAACATCAGGCGTCTTGAGTCCTCTTGGGGGGTCCTCCTGGGGCAGTCTTTGGAAATTGTTGGGCCGTCGCGGGGCTATCGTGGAGGCCTCTTGGGCGCTACGGGGGCGATCTTGGGAGCCCCTTCGGCCATCCAGACCGTCGCCAGGCTATATATATATATATATGTATGTATGTATGTGTATATATATATATATATACATACATACATACATACATATATATATATATATATATATATATATATATATACATATATATGTGTATCAAGCAAATGCAACAGATAAGTTTAGCTTGTTCGCGCGTTCCAAAGGAATGTCTTGGAGGCGTCTTGGCCGCCTCGGGGGCTATCACAAGCGACCTGGACTCCGCATCGCGCGGCGGGGAAGGCATATCGGAGCCATCGTGGGCATTCCAATTAGAGGAAAGGTATACGTGCACGTTAGAATCGTAATGAAACTATTGGAGTAAAGCACGATAATCAAGGACGTGGGCCTCTTCGGGCTCTCTCGAGGCGTCTCTCGGAACTCTCTTGGGGTCTCTTGGACCCGACGAGGATGGGGCAGGGGATCTCCCGCAGCGAGCCGCTCTTGGGAGCGCCCCTTCTTCAATGCAAAAGGAGGGAGAGGGGGCCCAAAGAAGGCTCGCGGCCAAAACGAAGGGGAGACGCCGCATCGAGCCTAGGAGCAATGCCCCCCACTGGGGAGTGGCCACTGGCCCGCCGCGGGCCCAGGGCTGGCCCCCCTCGACTCCCCTCACGAATCCCACCAGCCCTCTGGGCGTCGGTGGTTTAACGAGTTTCCTCTTCCTCGCCTCCTTCTTCCCCTTCGGGGAGGGGTTTACCCCTCCCCCCACCCCCCCCCACTGACCTGGACAGGGGGGGCCGCGGGTAGTTAGAGCGTCCAAGAACGACCCCTGGGAGGGCTAAAATTCGACACCCCTCACGAGGATCGTGGCTCCTGATGGGGGGGACTGGAATTAGGGAACCCCCCTTCGTTGATCGATCTCCTCCTAGATGGCTCCGAGGCCCCCAAAGAGGCCCCCAGGAGGCCCCCAAGAGACCCCCAAGAGGCCCCAAGAGACCCCCCAGAGGCACCCAAGAAGCGCCCAGGAGGCCCCAAGAAGCGCCCAGGAGGCCCCCAAAGGCCCCAAGATGGCCCCAAGAGGCCCCAAGAGGCCCCCAGGAGGCCCCAAAGAGGATCCCGAACGGCCCACAGAGGCCCCCCCGAGCACCCAAGACGCCGAAAAGCCCCTCAGGACGACCCTCTACTCGCCTGGGCGTCGTTTCTGGACGGGCTGGTGGGGATACGCGAAGCGTCTAGAATTTGTTGGGTCGCAGGCCACCGCCCCCCGCCATCGCTTTCGTGTGGGGGGGGGAACGGTGGCCCGGATTTGCGGAACCCGCTTTGCGGGCCCGCATGTGTGAACCTTGCCGCCGATGTCCGCCTGGGGCCTAGTCGACTTCTCACAGGCGCTGGATCGGCAAAAATGCACCGGCGCCTGGCTGGGCCACGGGCACTGCGGGCTTCTCGATGGCGCCAGGTCGGCGGGCGACCGCGTCAGCTGGCTTTGGCATGGGGCCTTGACGACTTCTCGCAAGCGCCAGCGTTTTTGCGGTTGGGGAGGTTCTCTCCAGGCGCTGGCCCTGGGCCCATTTGACTTTTCGTGGGCGCACGAGCGCGCCGTGCCGGTCTATGCCCGGGGCTTGCATGCGCTTCCCACGGACTCGACCTGGCGCGCTAAACAAAAACGCCGCCTCAGTTGGCTTTGGCTTGGGGCCTCGACGACTTCTCGCAAGCGCCGGCGTTTTTGCGGTGGGGGGAGATACTCCCCAGGCGTTGACCACGGGCCTTTTGGGCTACTCGTTGGCGCACGCGCGGATTGGCGCGTTAATCCTGACTGCTGCGATGGCCGCCGTTGATGTGGGCGGGCGGGGGGAATCAACAAAAACGCACGGGCGCCATCGCTGCGGGGCGGCCGCGCCCTCGCGGGCGGCGGGCGCCAAGCGCGCCCCCTCTCCGCGCCGCCCTGCAGCGCTGCGAGCGCGCGCGCGCGGCCCCTCCCCCGCCCCGTCAGCCCAGCATGCCCAGCCCCGCCCTGCCCAAGGCCAGGGCAGGCTAGACCGACGAGGACGGGGCAGGGGACCCCCCACAGCGAACCGCTCTTGGAAGAGCGCCCCCTCTTCGAGGCAAGAGGAGGGAGAGGGGGCCCAGAGAAGGCTCGCGGCCAAAACGGGAGGGGGGCGCCGCATCGAACCTGGGAACAATGCCCACCATCGGGGAGGGGCCACCGGCCCGCCGCCACTGGGCTGCGTCGGCCAGCGCACCCCCCCGCGCGGGTTTGTGCCCCACTGGCTGACGCAGACCCTCCGCCCCTATTGGGCACGCGGTTATTCGTCTTGGCCAAGGGGGGGGGGGGGGCGGGGGCGGCGGCCGCCGCCCAGCGGGGCGAACGACCCCGGGACCAGCCGAGGCCTGCACGCGGTGGCTTGAACGGGGAGACGCGGCGAGCATGCGCGCGCGCGGGGCCGCCCCCCCCCCCCCCCCGCCGATGCCGATTGGCTCGGCCATGTTAGACGGCGAAGCTGCTTGGCCGCAACAGGACGGCGACGACGATGGCACGCTCGTGTTCTCCCGTACAAGGGAAAACCGTATCCCAACAATGGCGCGGCTGCTCGATTGTCGCGAATTCCCGCGATGTCGGAATTATAAAGTCCGAGCCAGATGCTGTCGGCATCTGTGGACGCGGGGGGCGCTTCGCCTTTGCCCCGCGCG